GGGTGCGCACGGGGTGGTCCCTGAGCGCGGCCGCTATCCGTGACGGTCGTACAGGGCACAGCACGCGTGGCGTTTCCTCGGCACCACAGGCGGTGCCCACGGGGTGGTCCCTGAGCACGGCCGCTATCCGTGACGGTCGTCCAGGGCACAGCACGCGTGGCGTCTTCTCGACACCACAGGGGGTGCGCACGGGGTGGTTCCTGAGCGCGGCCGCTATCCGTGACGGCCGTACAGGGCACAGCAAGCGTGGCGTTTTCTCGACACCACAGGGTGTGCGCACGGGGTGGTCCCTGGGAGCGGCCGCTATCCGTGACGGCCGCACAGGGCACAGCAAGCGTGGCGTTTTCTCGACACCACAAGCGGTGCTCACCGGGTGGTCCCTGAGCGCGGTCGCTATCCGTAACGGTCGTCCAAGTCACAGCAGGCGTGGCGTTTTCTCGACACCACAGGGGGTGCGCACGGGGTGGTCCCTGAGGGCGGCCGCTATCCGTGACGGTCGTCCTTGCGGTATCGGCGGGGCAACGGCCACCAACATCATTCTCACATGCTTCACTTCAGCTACCATCACCCCAGCCATAATATAAATATGTGGGGTTCCTCGGTAGCGTAATCCATTGGTTTTTGACGGAGTTTGGCATGTGCGCCTTTTCGGCATTCCGACGGCTCAGGACGGCCAAGAGGCCCCCAAGATCACCCAAGAGGCCTCCAAGAGGGCCCCATGACGGCCCAAAAGGCCTGCAAGACGGCCCCAAGAGGGGCACAAGGCGGCCCAAGAGGCCTCCAACACGCCCAATATGGCCTCCAAGACGCCCAAGATGGCATCAAAGACGGCCCCGAAGCGCCCCAAGAGGCCCCCAAATCGGCCCAGAGAGGCCCCCAAGACGGCTCCCGACGGCGTCAGACGTGCGAGGAACCCACCAAGATGGCCGAAGATGGCTCGAAGCTGGCCCAAGACGGCCGAAGAGGCCCCCAAGAGGGCCTCCAAGAAGGCCAAAAGAGGCCACATACATTGATGTTCATTATCTTGTTGACGGATTTGACATTCGCTTCTTTTCGGCCTTCCGAGGGCCCGAGATGGCCCAAGAGCCCCCAAAGATCGCCAAAAGATCGCCCAGTAGGCCTCCATGATGGCTCCAGAACGGCCCAAGAGGGCCCCAAGTCGGCCCCAAGGGGCCCCCTAGACGGCACAGGAGTCCTTTAAGACGCCCAAGATGGCCTACAAGACGGCCCTGGAGCATTCCAAGAGGGCCCCAAGTCGGCCCATAGAGGCCCCCAGAACGGCTTCCGACGGCGTCAGACGGACCAGGAGCCCACTAAGACGGCCGAAGATGGCACTAAGATGGCCCAAGACGGCCCAAGAGGCCTCCAAGAGGGCCTCGAGGAAGGCCCGAAAAGGCCAAAATCATTGATTTCCCATGGGTTTTGAAGGATTATGGCATTTGCTTGTTTTCTGCCTTCCGACGGCCCAAGTGCCCCCAACGATCGCCCAAGATGCCCAAGACACGGCCCCAAGAGGCCTCCAAGAAGCCCCAGAGGTCCCCAAGACGCTCAAGATGGCCTCCAAGACAGCCCAAGAGCCCTCCAAGACGTCCTCCAAGAAGGCCCGAAAAGGTCAAACGGCCGTCAGACGGCCAAACTGGCGTGCTGGACGTCTTACGGTTTTGGTGTTGGTTCTTGTTCCAAAAGAACTTCCCCTGGGGCGTTGGCCCGTCCCGCCGGGGTCCCAAGAGGGAACTCCAGGCCCGCAAACGACCTCAAATTCCACATACAATTCTCCAGGACGGCTCAAGATGGTCTCCAAGCTGGCCATGTTGGCCCAAGATGGCCTCCAAGATTGCCTCCAAGTCCGCCCAAGATGGTCCAAAACGGCCTCCAAGACGGCCCAAGAGAGTCCAAGACGGCACAAGAGGCCCCCCAGAGGCCTCCAAGACGGCCCAAGTGGCCTCCAAGAGGTCCTCCAGGATGTTCCTTATGTGGTTGAAGGATTTTGACATTTGCTTCTTCTCAGCTTTCCGATGACCCAAGACGGCCCAAGAGGCCCCCAAGATCGCCCCCACAGCGCCCAAGAGGCCTCCAAGATGGCCTCAGAGCGGCCCAAGAGGCCCCAAGACAGCCCCAAGAGGGCACAAAGACGACCCAAGATGCCTCCAAGACGCCCAAGATGGCATCTAAGACGGCCCTGGAGCACCCAAAGAGGCCCCCAAGTCGGCCTAGAAAGGCCCCCCTAACGGCTTCCGACGGGCCAGGAGCCCACCAAGATGGCCGAAGTTGGCTCGAAGCTGGCCAAAGACTGCCCAAGAGGCCTCCAAGAGGACCTCCAGGAATGACAGAAAAAAGCCCAAATCATTGATGTTCCTTAGGTTGTTGACGGATGACGGGAAGCGTCTTCGAGGTACGAGAAGCAAGCGGGACGTTCTGGCTGAATCCTTGAATAAATATATATATATATATATATATAATAATATATATATTATATATATATATATATATTATTTTATATATTATCTATCTTTTTATCTATGGGTTGCGCGCTGCACGGGTATTCGTGGCGGATGACGGGAAGCGTCTTCGATGTACGGAAGCAAGCGTGACGTTCTGGCTGAATCCTTGAGTATATATATTATATATATATATATTATATATATATATATATATATCTTTATATCTATGGGTTGCGGGGCTGCACGGGGGAATTCGTTGGCGGATTCCCCAAAATGGCCATTTCGCTCGAGACATCCTCGAACAATCGAAGTTTTGGAGGCTATCGTTTAAGACGTCGTATGTCAAAAATGACGGTTTCGCTCGAGACATCCTCAAAACATCTGGATGTTGAAAAATATCAAAAAATTTTGTTATGCATGAAAAACGAGCGTTTCGCTCGAGACATCCTCGAAAAAATGAGATAGGTGTTTTAGAACCTCTTATGTCAAAAATGACGTTTTCGCTCGGGACGTCCTCAGAAAATGAGCAGGTGGTCTGCCGTGCTCCCGTGTGGAGCACGGCAGACCACGGCCATTTCGCTCGAGACATCCTAAAACAATCGAGGTGTGGTCTGCCGTGCTCCTGTGTGGTCTGCCTTGCTCCTGTGGTCTGCCGTGCTCCCCACAGGAGCACGGCAGACCGCGCGTAGGAACCGAGAGGAGCACGGCAGACCAAAACGAGGAGCACGGCAGACCAGGCTTAGGAACCGAGAGGAGCACGGCAAACCAAGACGAGGAGCACGGCAGACCAGGCACCAAGAGCGCCCTCAAGACGACGGAAAGGATGACCAAGACGAGGAGCACGGCAGACCAAGACGAGGAGCACGGCAGACTATGCTTTAAGAGTGCCCTCAAGACGGCCGAACAACGGCAGACCCCATAGGAGCACGGCAGACCACAGAAGAGCACGGCAGACCAACAGGAGCACGGCTTTAAGAGTGCCCTCAAGACGGCCGAACAACGGCAGACCCCATAGGATCACGGCAGACCACAGAAGAGCACGGCAGACCAACCGGAGCACGGCAGACCACACCAGAGCACGGCAGGCCACACAGGAGCACGGCAGACCAACCGGAGCACGGCAGACCACACCAGAGCACGGCAGGCCACACAGGAGCACGGCAGACGCCACAGGAGCACGGCGGAACCCACAGGAGCACGGCAGACCACAGAAGAGCACGGCAGACCACACAGGAGCACGGCAGACCACACACGAGCACGGCAGGCCACACAGGAACACGGCAGAACACACAGGAGCACGGCAAAGCATTCAGGATCAGTGCAGGTCGCAGGGGCGCCGCGTATCACAGGAGCACACCAGACCAACACGGTCCATCAGCACGGCAACGCCAGGAGTATAGCAGAGCACAGGAGCGCGCCTTCATTTTTTTCCAGTGCGCAATGCCGTGGGTGCTCTTGATAGCCCTCGACGATTAAGGTCGCTCTCTCACGTGCTCTATGTTGTTGGCATATGTTGTATTGGGCTCAATGTGGTTGCAAAGCTGCGGCAGGGTGTGCGCGGTGGAGGTGCTTCTATTAGCCCTGTGAGATCCAACTTTCTAGTAGGTGATCTCGGGGCGATTCTTACCGATGTTTATTTTCGGCATGCTCCGACTGGCGTTCTATATGATTTTATGTGGGTCTCTTGTTTGTCGAGCGCGTGCTGCTAAGACGATCAAGTATTGCAAAGGGTATCACAAGACCCGTCGTGGTGAGCAGCCCCCGAAGGCTCAGTCCGGTTATGACGGTTACTGCAAGTCTTGCTACAAGGAGAAGCATCCTACTCTGTACCGCCAGAAGCAGGAGAAGAGAAAGGGATGTTGTCGATTCTGCGGTGCGCAGACGGAGCTCAGCGGTGGCATGTGCAAGCCGTGTTATCGGTCTCGCAGCTGCCCTGAGTGTACCTGGTGCAACGAGGAAGACGAACCAACGCTGTGCGTGGCCTGCGAGTCACGCGAGAAGAACCCGCAGGCCGCGGGAAAAAGATGTGCTATGGCGTGTCCGACGCACACTTCGCCTGAGGAACGCAATCTCAAGCTGTGCTCCGAGTGCTTTACATCTTCGACCCCTTGCTCGCACTGCGCTGCGCCGACTCCTGCTGGCTCCTTGACTCGGTCGAAGTGTAGCAACGATTCTTGCGACGCATCAGTGGTGTTCTGTAGCGCGTGTTCTGGCATGTCTAACGGGCAATCGAAAGCGAAGTGCCAGTCGTGCTGGGCCCAGGACGGTCGGTGCTGCGTGCACTGCGGTCGGATGCGAGGTCGAAATGAAGTGATATATCGGCGAGCTTGCAAGGCCTGTTTCGCTGCGCGCTCGTGCGCCGTCTGCCACGCTGTGCCGCCGGCGTCGCTGGAGACCCCGCAGTGCGAGATGTGCGACAACCTCGCTCTGTGGTGTCCTGAGTGCACAACACCAGAGCAGCGGGCGGCGGGCCTGTGTAAAACACATTGGGATTCCCCCGAGTGCGCATTCTGTTACAGGACCGAGGACTCCGCCACCAAGGAACCGCTGCAGGTGTCCATGATTGAATGCGGAACAGAGAGCTGCTCCAAAGTCGTGAGGAGCTGCTTTGTGTGCTCGTCGCATTTCAAGCAGAGCGCGGCGCTGTGCGACGTGTGCTGGAAGGCAGCTGGCTCCAAGTGCATCGGATGCGGTGTCAAACCAGCCCGGACCGCCAGGGTATACCAGCACTTTTGCAAGAAATGCTTCGGGGAGGAGAGGCTCGCAGACCTCGTCCGCGACGAGAGCAGGAAGTTCCTCGCCGACGAGCCGCGACCGCAGAGGCTCGACGACGACGTCGCCCGATCCGCACCCGCTTTGCAGGTACTCCTCGCTCTGGCAAAGCCCGAGCCCGGGTCCTTGCCGAAGTACGCGGAGACGCCCGAGTACCTGGACCCGAACCATTGCCGCTTCTGCAAGCAACCGTGGGGTGACTCCCACGACGACGACAAGCGACGGCACCTGCTCGAGGAGTGCAGGCATGATCTCCATCAACGAGACGGCGAAGACATTCTCCAGACGTACCGGAGGACAGTGCTCGAACGGGCGCGCGCAGAGGGCCTGGACGCGGTCAGTCCGCAGGTGGGCAGGTTTTGTGTGGCGCAGTACAAGCATGCGCAGACGGACGAACGATACGTCCATGATGCCTGTGCCGTCTGCTGTCGAAAGACGCCCAAGTGCGACTTGAATCGAGTTCACATCCCATCGTCGAGCAGCGCAAAGTGCCCGGAGTGGTTGTCGTGGTCCGAAGAGTTCTGGAATGAAAACAAGGAGACGTGGTACGAGCAGGTCGACAAGCTCCTCAGCATTGAACAGTATTTGAAAAAGTTCTTAAAGGTGTCTGAGCGAGCCCAGGAAGCGCGAGAGAGCGTGGAGGCGTGCAGCCGCGGGGAGCCGCACGAGCTCGGGTTCACGAAGGTGGAGGACGCAAAGAACTGGGTCGACCGCGTGCGCCTTTGGGAAGACAATCTGAGGAGAGACATGCGGGAGCACTCCGTTGTCTCTCCAGGTGGCGCTCTCTCTCGTTGTCCCAGCTTCTGTTGTCGTGGTGGCTCCTGTGGTCTGCCGTGCTCCGGTGTTCCTGCTCCTGCTCCTGTGGTCTGACGTGCTCTTATGCCCACTCGTGCTGTGTTGCTGTGCCGTGATCGTGTCTGCTGCCGTGGATTGCGTGCTATAGTCGTCTGCCGTGCTCCTGCTGTCTGGCGTGCTCGGCCCCCGTGCCCACGTTGGTTGGGAAAGTTGTCATGTTGTCTTGACAGCACCCCAGGTGATCCGAATCATCGGCGGGTATTGTACAAGTCCGCAGTATGCACGGATGCGCCCGAGGGCAGCGGCGGAGATCTTCGCGTGAGCATGTGCAAGGAGTGCGCCGAAGCATTGTCGAACACGCACACAGACAGCCGCGGGCGGTGCCGCCCGCGGCTGCGCATGCCCAGCGAGGCTCTCGCGAATGGCATGTGGCGTGGTCCTGACCCGGAAGAGCTCACGAACTTAACGTACACCGAGTGCAAGGTGATCAACCTGGCGAGGGTGTACGTCAGCGTGAAGCGCGTGTTGTTGGACAGGGCGTCTTTCGCCAGGACGAGTGCCGACGAGGCGCCGCGCTATCACCAGACGAACGTTGTTGCGTACCCGCAGAGCCCCGACGCGGCTCTGACTGCCATCGGACTGTCGCCGATGGCCCTGGCGCACACTCTGATCGTCCAGTTCGTGGGAAGCCGCGCTGACGGTATCTGGCATCATCCTGACTTGCAAGTTTCCGTGGTGCGACTTCGAGCAGCATTTCGTTGGTTGTGCTCCAGCAGCTGGAACCACATGGAAGCCACGCGACACCATGCCGCATGTGCGGATTCTGGCTTACTCCACGAGTCGATCGAGGAGTTGCTGGACGCGTACGCGACGAGCGTTGGTGGATCCTCGGGCGTTCCGCGCGAGCTCGTCGACTCGGCGACGTCGATCAGCGGCTCAAGAGCTTCGGTGCAGTCTAAAGGACCAGCTGACTGCACGGAAGAAGGTGAACGCGACACGGAGGAGAACGGGCCCGAGGAGGCGGAAAACGCCGCCGTCGTGAACGGCGGTTTAGCAGACGTCGACTCCCTGCAGCTGTGGACACAGGTTATCAAACACTTTAAGGCGGCACAGCGGTTTAAAGAGGAATTGGCCGCTCTAGACCCCGCCGACTTATCTGCTCGCGCCGAGAAGAAGAGAATGCACGGTGTGAGCATGGCCCAGGCCATCGAAGACCTGGAGAAGCTGTCGAATGAGAAGATGCGAAAACGTTTGGAAGAGCGGGCGCGGTCGGAGTCTGACGACAGAGCGCCCTTGAAGATCACGCACGAGACCACGTTCTTGTCTGCTCGCACGCCGAACTTTTGGGCGTCCTGCTTCGTTCGGCTGTTTCCTCGGGGAGACTGTCAGGAAACATGCCCAGAACGTAAAGCGGCGGATAGTACCGTATCGTTCTTGTCTTCCAATAAGTGGACCCAGTGCTTACTTAAACGAGCAGATTGTGATTACTGGCGGAAGGACCTGGAGTTCGTCGCATCCGTGGTCAACATCTTTATGCGTCGAGATCAGATGAGCAAGGTGGAAGCGTGCATGAGGGAGACGCCCGGCGGCGGCTTCATGGGCATAACTCCCGATGAGATGCAAAGGATGAACGAGATCACAGCGGAAGGTTTGGTTGCCGCCGCGATCGCGATGGGAGGTGATGCGAAGGGCATGAGCGATCTTCTGAGGAATAAAAAGTTGACCCAACCAGTCCGCACAGCCGCTGACAAAATGCAGGCCGTGTCCCGGAAAGTGCGTGGATCTGCCGAAGAGCGGGACTCGTACAGGTGGAATTTCCGAGCTCTTCAGATAAACTCGGGCTGCTCGACTTTGTTCTTTACGCTGAATCCCCACGACATTCGCAGTCCGCTGACGGTGCTCCTGGTGCAGGACGGCGCGGAGATGCAGAGGCTATTCTCCCTGAACATGAGCGACAAGGAGGCGGAGGACTGGATGAAAGAATTTCAAGCAGAGCACCCTCGTCTTCTCCACCGTCGCGTGGCGCAAGACCCTTACTATGCCCAGAAAGTTTTCCACTCGACCGTCAAAGACGTGATTCGCTATATATTCAACTGCGCTGATGGACCCTCGAACCTGCCTCCGGATGGCATCGCGGCGAGCGAGGTGCCCGGTGTATTCGGGTACGTGCGCCCCTATCTCGGAGTTGTTGAGGAACAGATGCGGAAGGCGCTGCACATACACATGCTCGTGCAGATTCTTGGCTTCTCGCATCCCGACGATATCTTCAAGAAGAACTCTTTCCTCGACGAATTTAAGCGTCTCTACTACTATCACGCCTCAGTCATGTTCCGCAGCCAGGAAGCCGTAGCGCATCATTTCGCCGTTCCCGTGGCGATGAGAACCACCGCCGGGCTGCCGTTGTTCCCGGTGACTCTGAAGCAGCGGAGCATGATCGGCAGCGCTCGCGTTGAGGAGAGCAACCTCGCGCAGACTGTGGCGCGCGGACTCGACGTGCCGCCTGCTTTATCCAGGAGCGTGCCTGAGTATCCATTCTTCGTGGGTTCGTATCACGGCGACGAGAACGTGTCCGGTAGCGACTGGGGCAGCCGCGCTGTTGTCGAGATTTTTTCAAGGAGTCGCAAGACGGGAAACCACGTGTGCAAGCCGTCCGTCTGTCACAAGGGGCGTCTCGGAAAGCGTGGTTTTTGCCGCATGTTAATCCCCATTGGCACCTCTCGCTGAAGGTGGCCCAGGCCCCGACAGACGGGGGCCTCCTTCGCCAAACTCGACACCGCTGGCTTGCAGTGCAATCCCTTCGATGGGATGGCGTTGGCCCTCCGCGATTCTTGATTGCAAGGAGTTTTGAGGGTTGACGGATCCTGGAGATTGTTACCAGTGGCCTACTTCAAGCTTTCCTACCATTCATGCTTCGGCCGCTGTTGCAATCACGACATCCAAGTGCTCCCGCGGTTGCGCGCTCTGAAGAGCAGCAGCCCAGACGCCGTGCCCGATGAGGCAGAGGTTGCCACCGCCAGAGCGGGACTGATAGAGCAGCAGGCGGCGAATGAGTTTTACTGTTCGTCATACTCTAGCAAGTCCGCGCCGCACGCGGAGGGACTCGTGCTGACTCTTGCAGTCTCGCTCCATCAGAAAGAGCAAGACGCGAAGGAGGCTGCTGGCCGCGGCGACGAGCCTGTGAACGTGCACGAGAAGGCGAAGCGGATTCTCCACAGGCTGTTGTCGGCGACGAACAACAGGATGCACAAAGGGTTTCCAGAGATGCTCAGTTACCTGCTTCAGGGGCCGACCCTGTACTCTAGCCACGAGTTCGTTACCGTCTTGACGCCAGGCCTCAGCATGCTGATCTCGAAAAGGTTGAGCGAGGTCGCAACCGGTGCAGAGACGAGTGGACCCTCCACTGCCGCGAGTCCGTACTCTACGAAACTCTACCGAAGGCCGTTCCTGACGGAGTACGATTACCTCTACCGCCCCGACGAGCTGGAGGATTTCCCATTGTACTTTTACTTCGCGGCTTGCGAAGCTCGGCAAGCTCGCCCTGACGGACATCGCCCCGTGAACACTCTGGCGTGGCACGTCGCGGCCGACGGTAAGCGTCAGTTCTCTGCGGAAAAGCTATACAGCCGGGAGCACGAAAAAGTGCCTCTGCGCGGAGATCCTTCGGAGCATCACCCCCTCGGGCCTGAGCTATACAAGTACGCGTACTACGTGACCGTCCGCTTGAGCATCGCGTGGCGGATACCTGTTCTTCGCGGATTTCTCCCTCCGTGCCCGGAGGCAAAGAAAGACGGAGATGGCGAAGCTAAGAGATTAGAAGACGAGGTTAAGTACGCGGTGTACGTGCAACTGCTCTTTCGACCTTTCCGAACAGTGGAGGACGTGCTGCGTCGCGCCCCGCCCGCGCCGTGGACGCACATACCTGCGGAGTACTACGGCGCATTTTTGAATGAGTTCGAGGATTGGCGCAGCACTCAGGAGTCCATCGCTTCTCGAGCACGTAGTGATACGCCACCTCTCAGCAAGGGATGGTGGGCTTGTCGCGTGTGTGAATGCCTGAGGAATTACGACCTCGTCGCAAAGCGCCACGTATCGGTTGTTGATCGTGTGCCGACAGGGGACGCTCTCCGTGGTTATCCCGACGCTGCTGCCGATATCGATGGCCCCGATGCGAACAGGGCCGACGACGAGGAGATGTTGATGGAGTCCGATTCGGACGAGAGTCCCGGCGATGCTGCGATGGAGGACGATGCCCCCAGTGATGCGGCAGTTCCTCGCGCGTCGGGTCGCGAAGCAGATCCAGTCAGCCAGCTTTGCGGAACCGTGGACATTGACTTGAACGAACTGGTCAACTCGGCAACTCTGGCGAGAAGCAGATCCAACGAGGCAAAATATCTCCGTGGCTTTATCGAAGAGGAAAAGAAGTGCGTTTCCAGGCGCACAGCTGCCGCTGACGGCGACGGTGCGTTCCAAGAGTGCTCGTTGTCAGCACGAAAGTCGCTCATCGTCTCTGACATGCAGCAGAAATTTTTCAAGATCGCCAACGAGGGCGAGGATAATGTCGAGATGGTCAGGAAAGTCGAGAAGACGAAGTCAGATGTGCTACAGCAACGCATCGACGCGGCGATGGCGAGAATTCCCGTAGCACTTGAGCGCAAGGTGCCCTTGTTGGCCCGTAAGTCATCGACGTCTGTTGTAGAGGCTGCGCTGTTCTTGTTGAGCCAAAAGGTTCTCGACATCCCTGATGTGGGCGGTATCAACGTGAAGCAGGCGCGGGCGTTTCTGTGGAATGCGTTGTGGCTGCAAGACGTGATGAATCGGGAATGGTCCCTGGACGACCCGCCCGGATCGCAGTTCTCTTCGAGCTCTTCTTTGGCGGACGGCTTTCAGCTCGCGCTCATGGGCCCCGGCGGCACCGGTAAAACTGCGGTGCTCCGCGTTACGGAGGCATTGGTCTCTTATTTTTTGGGTGCCGAATCCGTGCGAAAGTGTGCTCCATCCAACTCGGCGGCCCGGCTCATCGGCGGCGACGCCATACGCGCTGTGTGTAAGCTCCCGTTCGGGAACATTTCCGTCAGGGACCGGAAAGCCCGTTTGAGTGTTGCTGCGCTGGAAAAGCACAGACAACGCTGGAAGAAAGCTCGCGCGTGCTTCATTGACGAAGTGTCTATGGTCTCCAGTGACCAGCTCCATGCCTCCGAGGTCCGCATCAGGGAAGCGAAGGATGACAGGAAACCCTTCGGTGGCCTCGGTATGATTCTTTCTGGAGACTTCTTGCAGTTGCCCCCCGTGGATCCAGGAGACGCGCAGAAGAGTTTAGCGACTCCTCTGAAGGAGACTGGCGCCCTGGACGCGGCCCCTGAGAACCCCGACGCAAAGGATCAGGACGCGAAGCGAAAGAAGCTCGCCGATGCCGCTCAGGGGGTTCCGTTGTGGCAACGGGCACGGCATGTCGTGTGCCTTGACGTGAACATTCGCGCCCCGGGTAAGCTCAGCAAGTTACTCGCGGAGATGCGAGACGGCAAGGGCATCTCTTCCGAGTGTTGGCAGATGTACCTGGATCGCATCATGGAGCGGAACGACCAGAGACTTTCCGAGGGGAGTTCTCCTTTCAGTAAATACGACTGGCAGTTCATTGTTCATCGCCACAAGATCCGCGTGCATCGCTCGCTCGTGAACGCCAAGGCAGCTACGTCTCGTGGGCATAAGCCGCTATTCATCGCACAGGCCAGGGATGAGGCGGTGCATTCGAAAGATGATCGCAAAATGCCACACGTCAGGGAAGAGCTTTTGCGCAGAGCGTCGCCCCGAGACACTCAAAGCTTGCCAGGCATACTTCCACTGTACGTCGGGATGCGGTTGACGTTCCAGGAGAAGGACGGGGTGTTCTGGAAATGATCCCTGTCCGTGCTCCTTCCTTCTCCTTCTCTCCAGTGGCCTCGTCTTTTTCCGCTCCTTGCACCCTCGTACGGGGGAGGCAGCAGGGGCGCGGCAGACCGCAGGAGCACGGCAGTCCACAGGGGCATTACGCGGCAGCCGTCCTGCGGTGGTATGCTGTGTTTCTGTGGTTTGTCATGTTTGTCTTCCGAGTCGTCCTCCAAAAAAGCGGGAATGCTGCCAGAGTCCAGTATCCCAAGACAGCGTTTTTAGAGCCAGGGTGGCAGACCACACAGGAGCACGGCAGACCCCGCATGAACACGGCAGACCACAAAGGAGCACGACAGACCACAGGGGCACGGCAGTCCACACAGGAGCACGGCAGACCACACAGGAGCACGGCAGACCACACAGGAGCGCGGCAGACCACACAGGAGCACGGCAGACCACACAGGACCACGGGAGCATTGCAGAGCACACAGAAGCACGGCAGACCTCACGGGATCCCCGCAGACTTCAAGGAACACGGCAGACCACACAGACGCACGGCAAGCCACACACGAGCACGGCAGAGACCAAAGGAGCACAGCAGACACCAAAGGAGCACGGCAGACCCCAAAAGAACCGGCAGACCACCAGGGTACGGCAGACCACACTGGAGAACGGCAGACCCCACAGGAACACGGCAGACGCCTCAGGAGCACGGCAGGCCACACAGGAGCACGGCAGATCCCACATGATCACGGCAGACCACACAGGAGCGCGGCAGACCACAAAAGAAGCATGGCAGACTTCACAGGAGAACGGCAGACCACACAGAAGCACGGCAGACCCCACATGAGCACGGCAGAGTTCAAAGGAGCACGGCAGACCACGCAGGAGCACGGCAGACCCCACAAGAGCACGGCAGAAAACAACAGGAGCACGGCAGACCACACAGGAGCACGGCAGACCGCACAGGAGCACGGCAGACTCCACAGGAGCAAAGCAGCCCACACAGGAGCCCAGTAGACCAAAAAGAAGCACGGATGACCCCAAAGGAGCACGGCAGACCCCAAAGGAACACGGCAAACCTCAAAGGAGCACGGCAGACCACGCAGGAGCACGGCAGACCCCACAGGAGCACGGCAAACGACAAAAGGAGCACGGCAGACCACACAGGAGCACGGCAGACCACACAGGAGCACGGCAGACCCCTCCTCACAAGAAGCAAAAGAAAGCAGACCACACAAGCGAAGAGCCGGTAGACATAAAAGAAGCAACGGAAAGACCCCAAAGGAGCACGGCAGACCCCATAGGAACACGGCAGACCACAAGAGCACGGCAGACCACACAGGAGCACGGCAGATCACACAGGAGCACGGCAGACCACACAGGAGCACGGCAGACACACAGGAGCACAGCAGACCACAGGAGCACGGCAGACCACACAGGAGCACGGCAGACCCCACGGGAGCACGGCAGACCCCACAGGTGCACGGCAGACCACAGGAGCACGGCAGACACCACAGGAGTTGTCATCTGCCGTGTTCATTTTGTCTTTTCAGTACCCGTGAGGACTGTCCGCGCCTCGGAATTATGAAAGGATGCGTGTGCACAGTTCGGCATGTAGTTTTCTCGGAGAGCGAGACATTTCCAAAGCCGAACGAGAACGATAATGTGGTCCACTTGCGCTGCATGCCAGTGTCGTTGTGGCTGCAGGCGGCGGATGTCTCGTGGACGTTGGATGAGTCACACTTCCCAGACGACATGCCAGTCACGACGGACCGCAAAGGATTGTTTCAGCTGCGTCCCACGTGTGAGTACTTAAGCGCGACTTGGGAGGAGGAGACATTCAGCGTACGCCGTACCACTTTCAAAGTTCTCCCCGCCGACACTATCATCGTCTACGGCGCACAGGGCGGTACGTTCGACGCGGCGATAGTGGACATGAAGAAGCCGCCGACAATGGATGCGGACACGCACTGGCTTGCCTGTTACGTTATGTTGTCGCGGCCGAGATCGTTAGAGGGTCTGCTGATTCTTCGTGCCGCCGAAAAACACGAGCTCGAAAGGCCGCCGCCTGCTTTCCTTACACGAGAGTTGGAGAGGCTGAAGGACCTGGGACTCAAGCCGTTCAAAACGTATTCGAAGCTTTAGTTTTTCTTATAAAAAACGGTATTAGCCACCAATAGCCATACATATCGTGCACTCACCTCCAACACCCTCCCCCGCGTTGCTCGCTGACAGGAGCGTGCGTTGGGCGAGCTCATCCAACGTATAAAGAACATGAACGACCTCCACATTCCTGACAGCATCCGCGCCGAGATCTGGAACAGCGTGTTGGCAAGGAACGGTGGCCCAAAACAGGCGGCGGCAGTCGCCGCGGCGAGAGCGAAGCGTCCAGAGGCCGCCTGTTCGCAGCAAGTGTCAACAGGCACAGTTGTGCACGATGCTGCTGACGACGAGCCTGCAGGACCACCTGCGCTTGCCGAGGGATCTCGGAGACGCCTCCGCGCGAAGACTGCGGTGGGCCCTGGCAAATCTTATCCTGGCGAACTTTATCCACCCGCTAAGAGTGCACGGACGGATAAAAAGGCAAGGGTCGTCGACGACGGAGGCGCTGCCGGGAGACCAGCTAAGAGCGCCAGGGTGGGAAGACGCGAGCAGCTGTGCCCGGCCCTCGACGAGGGACGCAAGGCTGCCGCGGAGAGTATGAGAAAGCCGCGCCTCCACATGTGCACAGAATACACGCATGTCTGCGCGATTGACAAAGAGTTTGGACGTCGCTCGTGTTCCCGCATGCGTCACACAGATTGCACAAGTGTTCTCTGCCAAGATAAACCTTGTGAATTCTGCCTCAGTTTCGGCGAGATCGTTGCTGCCGGTTCCCCTGAGTGCTCAGGATTTCAGAGGCGCCATGGATGCCATTCCTGTGGTCGAAATCGGTGCTGGAACTTCTCTCCGACGTGCCTTGGCAGCCGCGACGATTCCGTCAACGCACAGAGTGCCGGGTTCGCCTCTGCTGACTCCTCACTTGCCCCCCCAGGCACGTGTTTGCAGTACAGCCACCGCTGCGGCGAAGACCGTGACGACGGATGTCAAAGCTGTATGAAGACTTGCCACCGCGACAACACTAGCCCCCTATGTCCTTATTTCGGTCGAGACCGCGGACAGCTCGGGTGGACACCGAACGCGGATGACATGCTCGACACGCAAAGGTTTCTTCGCGATCTTCGAGGTCGGAGGAGGCACCGTACGCAATTTCAGTGGCAGCGCGAAGGCAGAGATGCTGAGGGACGTCGGATTGTGCACATCCCTGGAGAAGGTTATCATTACTTGGGTGTCGCTGAAGGCCATGACTGCAACTGCTTCGTGTACTCTTTAGAGCAGTGTGTTGAAATCGCAACGGACGTGGACGCTGTCAGGACAAGCTTGCAGGTGGAATTCCCGCGCGTGTGCGGGGTCGGCTGCTCTCCCACCGCAGATGCCTGCACGGGCAATTGCATGAAAGTCTACCCGCGGAACTATTTGAGTACAGATCACTGGTCCGCCGTGCTACGGAGCATCGGGCAACATGCGCGTGCAGGGCCTCAGAATGTCGATGAGTCTCATTACTGTCTGCGCGTGATGGACCTCGCTTGCGACGGAAGCGGCGTCGTTCTCGGGAACCCATCTGCCCCTCGACGGATCACCGTTGCCAGAGAGAATCGCAACCACTTTGTACCTGTGTTACCTTACCCTCACAATACTGAAGGCGGGCGCTGGTTGCCCTGGTGAGCGGATAGCGCGATTGCGATGTGGGCTGTCAAGTGCACTTTGCTGACTGTCCGAAATCTTAGTGCATTTGGTGTGAGTAAGGCTTTTTACCCAATGACGTCGATAGGAGCGCCTACTCTTCGCCGCGCGTTCTGAGTTCGAGCGAACGTTATTGAAACGCGCGCTTAGCACGGTATGTCTGCTTTATATACGGTGGTGATGCTTTCAACCCACTGGCGCTCCGTGGTGCCACCGTGACATGCATAATTGCGGCTTGCATTGCACACGACGGAATCTCAAAAAAAAAAAAAAAAAAAAAAAACCATTGTTCTGTGCATCGCGCCTCTTTGTGAGATTCTGTACCAGATATCGGAGCACCGCATACGATGCAGGAGCACGGCAGAACACACAGAACGCACAGGAGCGCGGGTGTATGCACAGGAGCATGGCAGACTGTACAGTAACACGGCGGAACATACTGAAGTACAGCAGAACGCACACAACACAACGGAGCACGGCATAACGGACAGGACCACGGCAAACTCCACAGGAGCACGGCATACCATACAGGACTACAGCAGACCACGCATGAGCACGGCAGACTACGCACGAGCACGGCAGACCACAGGAGGACGGAGGATTACACAGGAGCAAGGCAGACCACAGGAGCACGGCAGACCCCAAAGGGGCACGGCAGACCACACAGGACACGGCAGACCCCACGGGAGCACGGCAGACCACACAGGAGCACGGCAAACCACACACGAGCACGGCAGACCATACAGGAGCACGCCAAACCACACAGGAGCACGGCAGACCACACGTTCGCACGGCAAACACCACAGGAGCACGGCAGACACCAAAGAAGCACGGCAGTGGTACGTGGCACTGCTGTGGTATGCCGTACTAAAACGTGGAATATCTCATAAGCCCAAGGGACAAAAGAACGCTTCCCGTTCTTGTCCGGTCAGGTTCCCCAAAATGGCCATTTCGCTCGAGACATCCTCGAAAAATCGAGGTGTTGGAGGCTATCGTTTCAGACGTCTTATGTAAAAAATGGCCGTTTCGCTCGAGACATCCTCAGAAAGTCGGGATGTTGAAAAATGTCAAAAATTTTTGTTGCGCATGAAAAATGAGCGTTTCGCTCGAGACATCCTCGAAAAAATGAGATGCCGACAGAGGTCTTTTACAACCTCTTATGTTAAAAATGACGTTTTCGCTAGGGACGTCCTCAGAAAATGAGCAGGTGGTCTGCCGTGCTC